TATGTTGGGGCTCTGTGTTCAGGGTTTGGGGCCTTGGCTTAGGGTCGAGCTGAGGGTGATGTAAGGACCGGGCCGAGGTAACCAAGCAGGATTGCCGATGTACTTTGAACCCCAACTACAACAGTGATGTAGTATCAAGTGGCAAGTCGGTGGGTTTGTGTTGGGGACTGAAGGTTTAGCATCCTGAAAGAGGTAGGATCTGGAATTTCTGGGCTGGGGACCTCGATGATGGTGAACCCTTGACACTGGGATGAAGACTCCGGGTCTTTCGGGTATATTAAAATTGTACGGTATCGCATGGTACGGTAGGGTAGGGCAGGGGTAAGGGTGAGGGTAAGGGGAAGGGCAAGGGTAAGGGCAAGGGGGAGGAGGGGAAGGGGAAGGGGAAGGGTAACGGTGAGGGTGAGGGGGAGGCTGGTAACGGCAAGGGCAAGGGCAGGGTGTGGTATCCACTGATGTAGTGCCGTATAGCAGGGTTAGCAGGGTATAGCAGAGTACTGCAAGGTGTTGCATCACAGGCTATAGCAGCGAAAGGTGACACATGCATACCTTGTTTTACATACGTGCACACACACACACATACACACACACACACACAAGATATTGAACTTCCCGCTTCTGTGCACTTTGTGATTTCGGTGCCTGGGCGTTTGGAGGTGTGTTTCCGCTTCAAGGCTAGGGCTCTTGACCGTGTGGTTTCAGTGGTGGTCAAGCAAGCCTTCCGAAGTCCCAAACCCTTAAACCCCCAAACCCTACACCCCTAGACCCTAAACTCAAAAATCCTAAACCCCAAATTTGCACTAAATCCTGAAATCTCTCCTTCAGGCAACCCACCATGAGAGCCTCCAGGTCCAGGTGACGACGGTGAGTCGCTGGGGACTCGGCCAAGGGCTTCCATGCCGTTTCGGGTTTCAGGGTTTATGGGTTTAGGGTTTCAACGTTTTAGGGTTTAGGGTTTATGGGGTTGGGGGTTTAGGGTTTGAGAGTTTGAGCAGAGTCTTGGCTGAAATGTGCCGTTTAGGAGGTAGTGGCGCGACACATGCACACCCTACCGAACATCGTAGAACGTTGCCGATGATCAAGCCTCGAAGTTATGTGTGGAGATTCATGTAAACTAATGTACTGATCTCTTCGTTTTGATGCGAAATCTACGTAAGGCGTGAAACCTTACAGACCGCCCTAAACTCTGAACCGTACGGCAGCACTACACCCCGGAAGCACTGAAGCAAAGAAGCTTGAATGTTCCTTTCAGAACCATGTCATCTTTCGAAAACCTAAACCCTCTAAACCCTAGACCTCCGACAAGAGAGAACCTTTCCCGAAATCCGAAAACGGCCACAGGCTGTCACAGGCTTTGGGCTTAGGGTCTAGAATTCTTAGGGTTTAGGGACCTTTTAGGGAGCCTAAACGGAAACCCTGAACACTAAACTCTAAACCCTACATCATGTTTAAGAAAAAGCCCCAGACCTTTCTTTCGGCCGGGGTTGTGTTTGCTTTCACCCGGCGCCAGACCCCCATCTTCTTGAAGTGTGGCGACTCAAAACAACCTGACTGCGGAGTCTTGTTTCGGGTTTGGGGGTCTAGAGTTTAGCGGTTTAGGGTTTAAGGCTTCAGAGTTTAGGGGTAAACCGTTTCGGGTTTTCTGTTTTAGGGGATTATGGCTTATAGTCGAGCTTGAAACCTTCTTGATCTGCTTGCTCTCCACGTAGGTATGCTTAGGCGATGATCGTCCTTCTACAACCGTTTCAGACTCTAAACTTCTGGTCGTGGTGAGCACCCGATGCTTGAGCACGTTGAAACTGGTGTACTGAGATGAGGGTTTCCGAACACAGGGGACCCTAACATAGCACCCTAAACAAGAAATGAATAGTAATAATGAGGAGCCCAAAATAGGTGCCCCTAATTTTCGGAAATTCACAGATGTTGACTGAGATTTACGGAGATCGATCATCCATGGCCATCCTAAACCCCTAAACCCCTCAACCCTAAACCCTAAACCCCTGAACCCCCAAACCCCTAAACCCTAAACCCCTAAACCCCTGAACCCCTAAACCCCTAAACCCCTAAACCCCTGAACCCCTAAACCCCTAAACTCCTAAACCCTTCAACCCTAAACCCTAAAACGCCAAGATCCCTTAAATTAAGGAATAGACCGTACATTTTAGTAGGATCCCTCATATTTTTTAAGGTACATCCCTTAATTTTAGGAATATACCTTACATTATAGTAGGATCCCTAATGTGCTTTAAGGTAGTTTTAGGATTATACCTTGCATTATAGTAGGATCCCTAATATGATATAAGGTGTATTCCTTAATTAAGGGATATTGGAGTCTCTGGCAAGGTCCAGCTGCCAGCACGGACCCTGAGGCGATCTGCAAAGATGCGGACTTTTGGATTTAGGGCTTAGGGTTCCTAGAGGGCGGTTAAAGCTTCCTTTAAAGGGATCTATAGGGGTTCCTTTAAAGGGATCTATAAGGGTTCTTAAACGGGGTTTAGGACGTTTAGGATTTAGGGCCTAGGGTTTGGGGGTTTAGGGTTCTCGGGTTTGGCGTGTAGGGGTTTGGGGGTTTAGGGTTCAGGGGTTTAGGGTTCAGGGTTTAGGGCGATATACAAAATGGGAGTTAAGGGCTTAGGGTAACGATGTGTTTTGGGGCCACGGCCTTTGTTTTCGTGAAGCAGCCTTGGGTTATGATTTCAGTGATCAGTGATGATGAGATGCTGTTCTACAGCATGTACGCACATTTTTACCCAGGTTGCTGGTGAGGTCTCGGACATCTGAGTAGATCTGGGGTCTTAGCTTAACGTGACTTTCTAGCCCAAGTGTGCAGCATCTCAAGTTCTTGTTCCTCGTATTTCAGCTTGCAATGTAGGGCCTTAATTATAATTAGAATGGGGCTTTGGGGGTTCGTTTTTATAATAATTACAGTATAACATACCCGCAAACCCCATTCAAATTATTGGGGCCCCTACAGTAGCTCTTGTCCTTGGCTCGTAGCTGCTCTGCGCCCCGAAAGCCTCAACTCCCCACTCCAAACCACAAGGCCCTAACCCAGAACCCCAAACCCTTTAGCTTCTCACCAATGAGCCCTAAACCCTAAACCCTAAACCCTAAACCCTAAGCCCTAAACCCTAAGCCCTAAACCCTAAACCCTAAATCCTAAACCCTAAACCCTAAACCCTAAACCCTAAACCCTAAAACCCTAAACCCTAAACCCTAAAACCCTGAAGCTGAGGATCCTCCTGCCTCAACCCCCTGGGTGTCAGATCCCAAGCCATATATGGGTGGTTGTCAAAACTATGGTCCCTTTTTGGGTCCCTATTAGAATACGGCCGGCACCTATGATTTAGGATACCCCAAGAAAGGGACCTTAATTTTGACAACTACCCATATACCTCTTGCACCGCAGACCCTTAATAGAGGGGCCTTCAGAATTACCTATACTATTTTGGGGGCCCTGATCATAGCTGCAATATAATGGGTCCCAATTACCTCTGGGGTTCCTGGAAAGGGCTCTGTAAGGGGTCTATAGATAACTACCTATACTATTTTGGGGGTTCCTTATTATGAGTATACTGTAATTGGCCCCAAGACCGTCTTCTAATTATTAAGGCCCCTGTATTAAGCTGGAGGCCCCCCGAAGCCTAAACGACTAAACCCTAAACTTCCTGCGCCCGAAGCGACGAGACTAAAAACTACCCCGAGCCAAACTCTAAACCACCTCAAACCTCAAACCCTTACACTCCCCTAAACCCAAAACCCTAAACCCCAAACCCTAAACCCTAAAGCCTAAACCGCAAACCCTAAACCCCTAAACCCTAAACCCTACATATACGAGGACAAAATAAGACCTTGAAGCTGGGATTGAAACTGTTGAGGCCCTTATTGCCCATAAACCCTACAGGCCGCTTCTCTACAGCCCATCAAAACCACCATAATGAAACCCAACAGGCAGCTAGCCCAAAAAACCCTATAATCCTACACCTTAAAGCATGGGATCCCTGTTGCCAGGTTTTTTGCCGCGCCGTGTCCGCAGAGGCCTCCTTCCACCGGAGCCCAAGCCCTTCTCTGATGCCGCCGCAGAGGCCGTTTTCTTTTCAGGGTTTGGGGTTCTCCTTTAAAAGGGATCTATAAGGGTTCCTATACAGGACCGATAAGGGTTCTATAAACGGGTCTAGGGATTAGGGGTTCAGGGTTTGGGGTTCAGGGTTCAGGGTTTCGGGTATAGGGGAGGGAGATTGCAGGGCTTTTCCGAGGGAAGCTTGAGGTTTTTGCTTGGGCTCGAAGTTGAAGATCAAGGGTTTGCGGTTTAAGAAGCGCTTGAAGTTGGAGATGGACAGTTTAGGGTTTCGGGTTTAGGGGTTTACGGGTTTAGGGGTTTAGGGCTTAGGGTTGATCGGGGGTTAAGGGGAGGGGAATCAACGACAACCAATACCAAGTCCAGAGGTTTAGCCCCCAAGTAATATCTGTTGTGCAAGTACTATAGGGGCCTGAATAATTAGAATAGGGTTTTGGGGCCCACTGCAGTCCACTTCCAACAAGGAACCCCCCCAAAATAGTCTAGGTAATCATGACCCAGAAAGCCCAATACCCCTTAATTAAGGAATATGGCTTAAATTACATAAGGCTTCATATTATGATTTAAGCTATATTCCTTAATTAAGGGGTATTGGGCTCTCTGGGGAAGGCCCTATATTACCGGCAACAAGGAGCCGCAGAAAGGGGGTCCTGGGTTCCAGGTCAGATCTGGAAGCCCCAGACGCCTCCACAGATGGAAAGGTAAGACTTATTGACTTTCAGGTTCCCTAAACCCTAAACCCTAAACCCTAAACCCTAAACCCACCTTAAAAAAACCCTATACCCTGAAACACTTCGTGACTTATATAGTGTCTGCTGACTTTCAGAGTCCCAAGCATCGGTTTTTTCAGCGTAAAGAAGGCCCTGCTTTTGATACCCCAAGACCCCTAAGCCCTAAATCCTTTACCCGTAACCTGAAACCCGAAAAGCCCTAAAACTAAAACCCTGAACCCCAAAACACCTAAACCCAAAAACCCTAAACCCTAAGCCCAAAAACCCAAAAACCTTAAGCTCAAAAACCTCAAAACTCTAAGCCCTAAATCCTTATAGGTCCCTCAAAGGAACCCTTGTAGACCCTTTTGAAGGATCCCCCAAAAGCCCTAAAACCCTAAACCCTAAACCACGCAGGCCCACAAAGATTTGGGCAAAATGAAGTCCCACCATGGCAAGCCCGAAACCTGAAACCGTTGGCTTAGGAAGGTTTCTGGTTTTTAGGGGTTTTAGGGTTTTTAAGGTTTTTAGTGTTTTAGAGTTTTTAGGATTAAGGGTTTAGGACCAGCCCTATCTACTGCCCTTTCGAACAACAGCGTATTAGTCCCGTACACTCGCCCCTTACATGCTCCAAAGCCCGCTAAATGGATGAAGCCACAACTGTCAGTGGCTTTCTTGTCGATGGCCAATACGGCACTGCCGGGCTTTAAGGTTTTTTTTTGGGTTTCGGGTGTAGTAGCGTTTAGGGTTTTAATTGAAAAACCCTAAAGGGTAAACCCTAAACCCTAAAACCCTACACCCGAAAACCCTAAAGCGTAAACCCTAAACCCTGACTCCGAGTCCTTTATCCGAAAGGTTCCCTCGCGCAGTCACCATCGGCACGTGGCTTGGCTTCCGCAGGTTCCGGCGCATGTTCCAACTCAGAACAGCAGTACTTGTAGCGGTAGCAGTAGCAGCAGCACAAGCAGCAGCAGAGCAGTCTGAGGAAGAGCAGGAGGAGTAGGAGTCAGAGCATTGCTCGTCGTCGACGTCTCCATCGCAGTCGACGTCATGTTCTTCGTCGCAGAAACCCTAAACCCTAAACCCTAAACCCTACACCCTAAAGCCTAAACCATTGGCAGTGCAGGTAGTGCTCAGTGGTGGTAGTGACAGTACGAGCAGGAGCCGGCACCGGAGTCGGAGTGGCAAAAGGAGGAGTAGTTGTTTCAGCAGTCAGCAGTATAACAGCAGCAGCAGCAGAAGCAGTAGCAGTGGTAGCAGTAGTAGTAGCAAGAGGTAGTAGTAGCTACAAGTACAACGTTGTCGCAGCAGCAGCAGCAGTAGAAGTACCAGCCGCAGTTGTACTATGGTTTACTAGCAGTAATTCGCCGTCGTCGCAGCAATCGTAGCAGAGTAGCTGAGTAGCAGTAGCGGATCACCACCATCGTCGTCGTCATGATCATCATGAGCTCTGGCATCGTCCCCATCACGACATTCGGCATAACCATTATAATGTCTGCCGGCTGTTGACTTTGTTCTTACTTTTGGTCCGGTGCATTGTGTTTGCTTTTCGGGAGTCTGTCCAGGGCTTTGTCGCACTGTTGTGTCTGAGGTCTTGGACTGTGGGCGACCGATCCCGGTCACGGTCCCTGTCGCTGGTCACCTTGAGGCATGGGGATGTTCCGCAAGAACTTCAAAGTTCAGGGCTGTCCCTCAATATTAGAGGGTTGCATCTGATCCGTCAAGGATTTCGCAGGTATATGTCGGAGTGTGTATGTTTGCGAGCATGGGTAACCCCCGAATTGGATCCAGGTGCAGGCATCTGATATTGAAAGGTTTTGTTTCGTGGAGACAGCACCAAGACCACCATCGGATCAGAGACGAGACCTTGGGGTTTAATATAGGGGGTGGTGAGACAACGGCTAGTGGCTCGTACTTTTGAACCAGGCTCCTGACTTCGTCGACCTCGTAGCAGTAAATCAGGACGGTTTACTCTTCGTAGTCATCGTCGTAGTCGTCGTGCACGCTGTGGCGAGGAGGAGTAGCCGTAGTAGTAGCTGTCGTTGCAAAGTAGCAGTGCCAGTTTCGGAAGGCCCTGACGACGATGCCGCCACTTTTTCCCGCCTGAGACTCTCTAACCCGTTGCCAGGCAGAATATCTTCACCTCGCACGTTTCTGCGGAGTGCCCCTGCCGCAAGAACCCTCGGGAGTTTGGGTTCACTCCGGGGGTTTAGAGTCGAAGTCAATGACAGCTTGGTGGTTTGGGGTTCGGAAGCCTGCTTGATATACTCAGATATACGTGTATATATATATATATACATACATATGTATATACATACATATATATATATATATACACACACGTACATGCATACATATATACGTAAGCACTTACATACGTACATGCATCCATACGAGTATGTATATATATATATATATATATATGTATATGCATATGTATATGTATATGTATATTCATATGTGTGTATGCGTATACGTGTATATGTGTATTTGTGTATATGTGTAATGTGTATATGTGTCTATGTATATATGTATATATGTATGTATGTATGTCTGTATGTATGTATGTCTGTATGTATGTCTGTATGTATGTATACATGTATGTATATATATATATATATATATATATATATATGGAGACACATAGACATACACATATGTGTCGATATATATATATATATATATATATATATATATATGCCTGGATTTTACCTATGTCTATCCGTCTATCTATTTTTCCATCTATCTAGGTGGCTACGTACCTATCTATCTATCTATCTATCTAACTATTATCTGTGTATCTGTATATCCTTGTACCTGCATGTCTAAATCTCTATACCTCTATACCTCTATATCTCTATATCTGTACATCTCTACACCTCTACATCTCGACATCTCTACTGTATCTCTATATCTCTATGTCTCTATATCTCTACATCTGTATACGTAGGTCATCTACTTGCGGCATGCTCCTCACAAACTCCCTCACTGGCCTAAGCCCTACACCGGCTGTGGCAGAGGAGTGAGCCCGATTTCGAGGAGGAGGCGGAGTTGGGTCGAAGGGGTAGGTTTAGGGGTTTAGTGCTCAGGGTTCCTTTAAACTGGCCTGTAAGGATTCAATAAGGGGGTTTGGGGCGTAGGGGTTAGGGTGTCGGGTTGAGGGGTTTGAGGGCTGCGAGTTCAGGGTTTAAGTTTCTGGGGTTTAGCAGCAACAGTAGCAGTAGCAATAGGGGTGCGGGTCGTAGTAGGAGTAGGAACAGGAGTAGGAGGAGGAGTCGGAGTAGTAGTACGAGCAGGAATGAGACTGGAGGAGAAGGAGGAGGAGGCGAAGGAGGAGGTTGTAGTCGTAGTAGTCGTCGTGGTGGTGGTGGTGGTGGCGGCGTCGCTCGTCGATTTGGCCACCGTCATATCTACTGCTTGTTGGGGTCTCAATTGGCGGGATCGGGTGCCAAGCTAACCATAGAGCTGATTGCCTTTCCACTCAATAGCAAGACTGTCTGGTTCTTAGTAGGGAATGGGGGAATGGATCATGGAGACGACTATTGGGGATGTATAGGGACTACTATAACCCTAAACCCTATCTAGGGACTACTATAGGGATCCATTCCTCATTCCCTACTAACCACCATGGAGAAGATTGAGCATCGTCCGGCTTCTTGGGTTCCGCTGTACCATCCGCAACATGGGTCATCATGGTTCCCTGTTACGAAAGGGGCCGTGTACTATAGGGGCCTAAATCATTACCTATAGGGTTCCTTTCCAGGGCTCTGTAAGGAGTCTATCAGCGATCTATATGGTAGGGTTCTATAATATAGGGGCACAGATAACTACCTACACTACTTTGGGTTCCTTATGATAAATATAGTCTAATGGGCACCAAAACCCTATTCTAACTGTTAAGGCCTCTATACTTCCTTGCTTCGCACATCCTCCAAACAGAAGTGACCCATGCGTAGGTCACTTGTCAGCTCTCTCAGACTCTCCCACTTACATGCTGTACTCGGCACGAAACTTTGGACCCTGAAGTTCAAGGACACCGAATTCGAACGCCTTTTTCTGCAGGATTCCTCCGAGACGACTGCCGCATTGGCGGGGCGATTTGCGGCGGCTGCCCAGCTCAGCATTCATGGTTTGACTTTTCGGTCTGTCTAGACTTGTGCTACATCCAAGAGCCCCAACATCAACCAGCTATCATGTACTTTTGGTTCTAACGAACTAATTCAGGTCTTCGAAGTTGAATAAAGACAAAGAGTCTTTTGGGCAGCTGTAGTGTTCCCTTGTAGCTTTAAAAGCTACAAAACCCCAGACCCTGAAGCCCAAACTCCTAAACCCAAACCCCAAACCCCTAAACCGAAACCCTAAACCTTAGAGCCAAAAGAGGTCCTTCTGATCGTGGATGTGCTGGTTAAGGTTATCTCCGGCCTACTGCAGGCTTTGGCCTGGGGTTGAAGAGGTTTCGGGCTTCGGAGGTTGGGGTTTAGGCTTTTTACAATAAAAGTTGGAAACCTAATAGCTTCAATCCTTAAGAGTAATGTATCGGGAATCCCAGCACTATTTGGCCTTAACCCGGCTTCCAACTTAATGGGGTTTACTGTAGAGCTCAGGACTTCAGGGTTGTAGGGTTTTGGGGTTTAGGGGTTTACCTGCTCGTGTGTTTAGGGGCTTAGTCTATGAGTTTTCGAAGAGACATACAGACCCCTCAGAGTAGCTTATTCTGAATACGTAGACCGCAAAGGGTAGAATCCTTATGGTACGGACCGCTGAGTAAAGACACACCTAGTCTTAAGAAGGAGACAGGCCAAAAAGAGACGTGTCAGCTTCATGGTGTTGTGTATCGAAAGCCTCATAAGTGACCCGCAGACGGAGGGTCTGTAGATTCGTGCTTCCTCGAGTTCCTATAGAGGTCGTGGCTCCCGAAGTACACCACTCGCTCAAGTCCGAACAAACACACTCGCACGAGAACTTGGCAGGGAAGCTTCCTCCAGTGGCACTTTCTGGCATCGCCCATGAGTCGGGCAGGAGGGCCCAGATTCGTTTGGCTGCAGGTGCTTTGAAAGTACTCTCCGCGCCCCCCCTCAGAACATAAACTCAAAATCCAGAATCCTAAACCCTAAACCTTACAACCCCAAACCCTGAACCCTAAAACCCTAAACCCTCTCCCCCAAACCCCAAATCCCAAACCCAGAGCCCCAGTCGTGCTATGGGGCAGGTTTGAAGAATATCTCCTTATAGTTTCTATGGGGTTTGAGGTTTATGGTTAAGTTTAGGTCTTGGGCCCGCCAAAAACCTTTTTCTGATTTTCAAGGCCCTGCAATACTTGAGGTCACCGTGCTTTATGCTCTGGCCCTCATATCCGTTGCCTCGGCTACACTGAGTGCGACCCTCGTGGAGCCAAAGCGGGAGGCTCCGGTGGAAGAGCGGCTTTGAGGGTTTGTGGGTGATTACCTACCTTAAACTATGTTGTGGTAGGTCCTTATGAGGAGCCCTTCTACGGGATTTCGAGCGGCACACAAACAAACCGGTTTGGTAGGTGGACGTGCTTGTTTTTGCATGGTCTCCCCTAAACCCTAAACCTGCGGGCTGTGGCGAAGTGTGTCTGTAGCTGGCAGGTGCCCCAATCTCTGCTGCGCAGGACCAGTGTGACACCTTGTCAGGCGCGCCGGGTTTAGGGGCATTGGGGCATTGACCCTAAACCCCAAACCCGATACCCTAAACTCTGAACCCGATGCCCTAAACCCTATCCGCTGACCATTTGCATGGGCGCTCGAGGCCCCCAGTAAACCAGGGACGGAAATGACTCGGCTACGCTTCGCACAATACAGACGTCGGCTAGTGTCCGTCGTACGCCACGCTAAACGCCCTGCCCTGGCCTTGCCCTGCCCCCGCGCCGCCTCGCCCCGCCCCGCCCTGCCTGCTGCCCTGCCCTCCTGCCTTCGAGCAGACGCGAGGGGCAGGTTGTTTGTTGAAAGCCTTTGGTTTTCGTCGAGCACAACCAGCATGAATCCATCTCAGTTGTGGTTTGCTGTGAAATGTGGTCGTTTATGTATCGAACTGCGAAAAGAAGTAGAGAGCAAGAAAGCCCCCCTTGAGGGGGCTTTGGCAGGTGAACCCCAAACCCTTATTGAGAATAGTTGGGGTGGTTGGGGCGGGAGCGCCCCAATTCCTAAACTAAAAAGCACACCCACCGCGTGCATACTGTTACAAACCCCAAAACCTAAACCGTAAACCCTAGTACCCTAAACCTTAAACCCTAAACCTTAAAGCCTAAACCTGATGCGCCGGGAACGCGAGCCGACATGCCGACCAGGCTCCAGAGATCCCGGAACCCAGAGCCTGCGCGGATCCGGGACTTAGTAACTAGGGCTGTATGTTAGGTAGCTATAGTTATAACAGTTACAGTTGCTTATAATCCCAGTCACAACCCTAAGCCCTAAACCCTAAGCCCTAAGCCCTAAGCCCTAATCCCAACCACAACCCTAAGCCCGAAACCCTAAGCCCTAAACCCTAAACCCTAATCCCTAAGCCCGAAACCCTAAGCCGTATGGGACTCCAGACACTGCGCGAGGCACTTTGCGCAGCCGTGGCGCTGTGGCCCTCCCGCAAGGCCAACATCTGCAATCCGAGTCTCCCATCTTGGGGCTCTGGACTTTAGGGCTCCTTTAAAGGGATCTATAAGGGTTTAAAAATTAAAAGCTCCTTTAAAGGGATCTATAAGGGTTTAAAAATTAAAAGCTCCTTTAAAGGGATCTATAAGGGTTTAGGGATTTAGGGCTCCTTTAAAGGGATCTATAAGGGTTGAGGGCCTTGGGGCTCCTTTAAAGGGATCTGGAGGCCCATGCGTGGAGGATCATGGGACGAAGTAAGTAGGGTTTAGGGCTCCTTTTTAGGGTAGTATAGGGTTCTAGAATCGGGTTCCTTAAAGGGATCTATAAGTGGTCTAGAATGGGAGGATCATTGGAATTTGGTAAGTAAGCTTATAAGTACCTTAATTGGGGGTTATCTAGGGTCCTTTAAATACCTTAAGCTCTGCACTGTAAACCCAAGGCCCTGAACCTGAAAGCCTAAGCTTATTATTATTATTATGGACCATAATTTATGGTCATTATAGTTAATATTGTTATTATTATCCTTCTTCTTATGATTACTCTGCCTGCAGGGGCCATTTCAAGTAGGCCTCACTTTTGGGGGCTTTGGACTTCCGCACAGATTTGGCTGCTCAGCTTCACCAACATCGCTTTCGGCCTCAGCGCCGGCTACATGCACCATGGCATTGAGCGTGTTTATGTATTTGCACAGTTTCATACTTCTGTATGATTTGTATGTGTACTCGTTTTTGCATCTACTCCTATGCCATCCTATGGCTGTGTGTGCATATTCAAGATAAAAGGCCAATAGGCACCCGACTAAAACCCTCGTAAAATCCCATAAGCCCTTAAATGTCCGCGTAAATTCCGATACATCCCCTAACTAGTGACTGGTTGCTAACTTGTTTGCACCCTGAAATTCGAGTTTAGGGCTTCGTCTTCAGGCCCTAAGCCCTAAGCCTAAGCCCTTAGGCCCAAAGCACCCTAGCCCCTAAACCTAAACCTTCAACCCTAAACCCTAAACCCCTAAAGCCTTAAACCCCTCATAGAACCCTTATTGGTGCCTTATAGGAACCCTTATAGGATCCCTTTAAACGGAACCCCTGGCCATGGCCGGAGCAAAGGAATGGCGTGGTCAACACCGACCTCGCTGCAGCCAGCCCGTCCTTCGGGGAGGCGAAGTCCGAATGATGCAGGGTTTAGGGTTTAGGGGTTTAGGGTTTAGGGTTTAGGGGTTTAGGGGTTTAGGGTTTAGGGTTTAGGGGTTTAGGGTTTAGGGTTTAGGGTTGAGGGGTTTAGGGGTTTAGGGTTTAGGGGTTTAGGGTGCATACATACCTGCAGACACACTCACATATTGGGTGGCTAGAATTAGGGTCCCTTTTTGGGTACCTTAAATATTAGGTGCCGTATTATAATAAGGACCCAAAGAGGGACCATAATGTTGACAACCACCCACATGCGTGCATACGTACCTGCAGACACACTCACATAGTGGGTGGTTGTCAGAATTAGGGTCCTTTTTTGGGTACCCTAAACATTAGGTGCGTATTGTAATAGGGACCCGAAAAGGGACACTAATATTGACAACCACTCGTATGTATTTGTAATATTCACAGGTACATATGCAGGTATAACCTAAACAGATCTCTCTTCAAGCACATATGACATAGGTCTTTGCAGTCGTTGCAGTCTTTGCACATATAATCAGCATGCGCAACCTCCGCGACCAGCGACCCAACCATTCTCAAAGGTTTACACCCTACCCCCCCGGACCCAACAGCCCAAGTCCTTAAACCAAGAGCTACACCCTGCAAGGGACCAATGCCTGTCATGTGCAAAGTTCCAAGCAGTCCACTGATGAGAACAGCAAGAATGAGCACGAATGCAGCGCTGAGAAGAAGTACAGCAACCGCAAGAAGAAGACGCAGCAGCAGCTGCAGCGGCAGCAGCAGGATCAGCAGGAACGGGTCTCGTAAGAATGGACATGACAATACTTGCAACAGTTGCACTACCTTTATCGGAGTAGCAAGAGCACTCGAACTACAACTGAGTAGCAGCAATAGTTGCAACGAGAACACCAGTCTGAACAAGAGTAATACCTGCGTGAAGAGAAGTATCAGGAGCAGAAAGTAACAAGACAACTGGCAACAAGCTGTTCAGAGTTCTTCAGAGCTCAAGGCACAAACTACAAGCCCCAAGCCCGAAACCCCTAAACCCTAAACCCCTAAACCCGAAACCACTAAACCCCTACACCCTAAATCTTGAACCCAAAAGCCTGAACCCGACATAGAGCCCGTATAAGTAGGTCCCCTATAGGAACCCTTATACATCCCGTTAAAGGAGCCCTAGATCCGAGGCGTCCATCGGCACTCTGATGGCGTTAACATCGCTCCTTGCGTCGCTGTTAGCCTGGCCTTTGAGCAAGATGTCTGCGTACACAGGCCGGTGGTTTAGGGTTTAAGGTTTAGGGTTTAGGACTCAGGGTTTAGGGTTTAGGATTCAGGGTTTAGGGTTTGGGCTTTAGGACTCAGGATTTAGGATTTAGGATGTAGGGTTTAGGGTTTAGGATTTAGGTTTGTTTGCCCCCCCCCCACACCTCTAAGACTCTACAAATCACAACCAAATCCAGCCCCAAACCTCTCGAGCTTGAAACCCTGCTAAGCCTTCAGCCCCAAATCCTTTGAATGCCCTTAAAACCTAGAGCCGTTCTGACATTCATGGTAACCCGAACGCAAGCACCCCAAACTTGTAATCCCAAGCCCGAAACCCTACAGCCCAAAGTCTTCAACCCAAGCATATTCAGAGACAGTATAAACCCGGGCTAGAAACTCGCATGCTACTTCATGGTATCCCTAGACCCCACATGTTGAACCGCGTAGTAACAGAGTAACCCCACTATACCAACGTTCAGCCCCGCAAACCAAAGCCTACATAAACCCGCCCTCGTGCCCGAAATTCTGTACCCTGACCTCTACATGGGAGTTTCCGAAAATTGGGGGGTACCTTATTTGGGGGTCCTTATAATAGGGACCCTATTATTTAGGGTACTATACTAGGGTCCCCCATTTTCGGAAACTCCCACATAAAGGCTGTTAACCCCAAACCCCCCAAACCCTAAAGCTTACAGCAACCCTGAGGCAAGGGCTTCGTGCTGGGACTCGGTAGCCTGGCATTGGCCGTCATCCCTCTGGCGGTCGTTTTGGGGCAGCCAGATGCCGCGGGGAACAACTTGGAAGCCTTTTCATATGGCTATTTACATATATATATATATATGTATGAACATCTATATACCCGGTATATATACGTATACAGAAATATGTAGGAATATCAAAATCAAAATCTGCATACCTAGTTTCTCTGGTTTGTTTACAATTTGGGCGTCAAGGTTAGGGACGCAAGGATTGCAAGGACTTAGGAATTAGAGCTTGCGGCTTGCAACCTTCTGGTGCTTGGTGGTTATACACATTTGATCTTCTCCTTCCTGAGGTTCGAAAGACGTTTCCGAAACTAAGCGCAGAAATGCAGAGAACCCGGCCTTAGACTGTCCCGACCTGCACCACCCTCCCTAAACCCTAAACCCTAAACCCTGAACCCGAACCCCTCCCCCCCCCCCGCTGGATCGATCCCTCGAACCCCCGAGCCCGAACTTGCTCGATCCCTCGATCCCGAACCGGAACCGCCAGCAAGCCAAACCCCGAATCCGAGCCTTGAGCCCCGTCCACTACATGGCATCTCTTGCGACAAAGCGCCAAGCCCTGCAACCTACCATTTGAGTATAGTTGTCGAAATTATGGTCCCTTTTTGGGTACCCTAAATAATAGGTGCCGTACTATTATAGGGACCCAAAAAGGGACCCTAATTTTGACAACCACCCATTTCCCATTGAAGCCCGCACCCGGTGCAAGGGACTCAAGAGCCCTTCGCCCTAAATCCCGCAAAGACCTATACCTTGGATACTGCCCCCACTCAGTCATAGTTGGATAATATTCATAATATAGCTATATTAGGACCTTAATCGTAGGCCTATTATAGACTGTTACTGTATGGGGGCAGTACCCAACCTATACCTTACACCCTGCGACGTGTATCCTACACCCCTAGAGCCCGAAACCCCCAAACCGCTACACACCGACACCTAAATCCCCTCAACCTTAAAACCCCGGAACCCCAAAACCCCCAAACCCTAAAACCACGTAGATCCGAAAACCCCCCTAAACCCTAAACTGCTCAAAAAAAGAGAAAACCCCTTGAACTCCCCATAGACTCCAAGGAGGCCAACTCCTTTTGGGGGCCCTGGCTCCTGGTGCTCTACGCTTTGCAGGGATTGGGCCGAAGTGTCTATGAGGCGACCGGAGGGGGGGGTTTCCCTTGGGTACGGGTTCCACTCAGCAACAGTTTAGGGTTTAGGGTTTAGGGTTTAGGGTTTAGGGTTTGGGGTTTAGGGTTTAGGGTAATATTCATAATATAGAGGTATAAGGACCTTAATAGTAGTTCTATCATAGATCGCTACTGTATGAGGCGACCGGAGGGGTTTCATGGGAGGCCAAAAGGCGGTTCCCTTTAAAGGGTTCCCAGAAGGATTACTATAAGGGTACTATAAGGGAATCTAGAAGGCTACAAAGAGGGGTTCTATAATGTAGGAGGCCCAAAGGGGTCTTAAGGATCATGGGGCCTAGTCAATAGGGTTATAATTAAGGTAACTATACTTGTAATTACTTATAACCCTTCTTAAGGTATAACACTAGCCTAGAGGCTCATAGGAGGCCAACAGGGGGTCTTAGCCTATGGGGGTTTCGTAGGGATTCGGGTTCCCATAATAGGGCTCATATTAAGGAATCCCTACCGCAAGAATCTTAAACCACCCTTTTGGCCTCCAATCAGGGTTTACCTTTAAAGTCATCTATACGGGGTTCGTATAAGGACCTAAAAGGGTTCTAAAAAGGGGGTCTAGGGGTTTCAGGGTAGGGCTTATGAGGCGACCGTAGGGTTTAGGGTGTCAGGGGAGTGCTTATGAGTCGAAGAGACGGGCTTAGTAGATGAATGAGTGCACTTTACATTCTTGTGGGATGGTATTATCCCGTAAAGAATTGAAAATTGAACTTAGCAACTAAGGGGGGGGGGTTGAGGGCCCAGGGTTTCGGAGTGTGGGGTTTGGGGCTTGGGGATTGAGGGCGCAGGCTTTCCGAGTCTGCAGTTTCAGGGAGTATGGCTATGGTCTTTTGGGTCATGTGCTTCTTGGTCGTGGTGGGCGCCAACAACTTCAGCTCCGCAATTCGCAGTTGTGCCAGTGGTGCTGATGACGACGAGAAATCCAGACGTGGTCGTAAGGGTATTAGCTCTTCCCGTTCTTCCTGTTTCATATTTCATATAGCCAGCTTCCGAATGCTTCATTGCGTGCACTCCCTCTTGGAGGTTCGCGGGGTCATAAGTAGGATAAGTATACTTATGACCCATACTAGGCGACTTATAACTCCACTGATAGGCAATTAGACCTTAAAACCCTATACCCTTATAGAATCCCTACAAATCCCTATACCCTTATAGAATCCCTACAAATCCCTATACCCTTATAGAATCCCTACAGATCCCTATAAAGGGACCCTTAAAAAGGAGCCCTTATAAAAAACTACCCACTGCCCCATGAACCTGGAAGCTGCCCCAGGGCGCGAACCGGGCCATCTTCGCAGACATGTTCTCCGAGGAGGAGAGTTCCTTAGTAGCTGAGTGGATACACTTTATACACTTCTTTGGGGGAGAATCTTACCCAGCATCAAACTGAAAGTGTACACTTTTTGGGATAATCTTACCCACCACAAAACTGAAAGTGTACACTTTTTGGGATAATATTACCCACCATAAAACTGAAAGTGTACACTTTTTGGGGGGCTTATAAACTCAGCCGCTAAGGTTCGGGAGCTTTCGCCAACTGCATGATGCAGCCCCTCGGCCATGGGTGGGGTGGTTTCCGGGGGGTAGGGGTGTAGGGCTTCGGCTTTGGGGTTTAGGGTGTAGGGTTTAGGGTGTAGGGTTTTCGGTTTAGGGTTTAGGGGTGGGGTGTAGGGTGTCGAGGATCCTATCATCATGGCCATGCGAGAGCATATCGAATTTTGTGACAATTTTTGACGAGACGCAGGAGCATGAACATCACGACAGGGACAACTACAACATAGGATGTAGTCGTGGCCCTCATGGCAGAATAAAGCTGTTACATCGCTGCTGCAACAGTGAGCTTCTGCCGCTCCTGCTGCTCCTCTTGCTGTGTGTGCGACTGCTGCTGCTGCTGCCGCCGCCGCTACTGCCGCTTCTGCTACTACTACCGCGAAGACGACGTCGAACTCGAATACCAACACTGGCTCTGCTGAAAACTCAAGCCAATTTTGTATTTTACCTTCGGGTTGGGTGGCGAAGCTGGGACTCGGAATGCCGAGAATCGCAGGTTGAGCTCGGACTGTTCAAATCGCGAGTTTTTAGAGAGAGAGAGAGAGAGAGAGAGAGACAGATGTGTGCGTGTCCTTATCATAAGGATCCTACTATTTGGAGTACTATAGTAGGGTCCCCTATTTTCGGAAACCCCATTATGTAGATTCTGCCGTTGAGGATGTGGAGGACAGAACTCGTAGAGACTTATCCCAGCACAGACTTCCTATACTCGTGGCTGGTACACCGCGGTCTGTGCTTGTGCTGCCTGCTCTTCACGCCCCAAGCTGAATTGGGCCGCACATATCTTTCGGCCTTTTTCGTTTTGCAAGTAGTTTCGACATCAGAGAATTACAGTTCTTTTGAGCCGAACTTTTCAGTTCAGTGACATTTCCCTTTGGAGGATTTGTGGCATGCGGGCTTTGGGGGGGGGGGGGGGGGGGGTTGCGGCTGCAAACCAAACCCCCTAGACTACTAAATCCGAAACCCTGCTTGGAGGTTCATGGGTAGTTATAAGTGAAGTTATAAGTCCCCAAACATGGGCTATAATTACAGTTACCCTACTGATAACCCCACTTATAACTGCCCATGAACCTCCAAATAGGCCCCAAATCCTATACCCTTATAGAATTACTATAGAGCCCTTCAACCCTTAAAGGAGCCCTTATAACTGCCCATGAACCTCCAAGTAGTCATGGCTAGGATTACAGCGCTTCGGGGTGGACCCAGGAGCGGCCTGGCCTTCTTCACATCTTTCCTCCTGCAGGCACGCTTAGGGTTTAGGATGGTTTAGGGTTTAGGGTTTAGGGTTTAGGGCTTAGGGTTTAGGATGGTTTAGGGTTTAGGGTTTAGGTTTTGCATTTTTCGGGGCTCATGTAGTATTGGTATTATTGGTACATTCAGTGATTGCACGCAGAAACGACGTAAGCAATAAACATATTGGGGAATAAATATTTTTCCCCAATATGTTTAGCGCCTTAATTATTAGAAAAGGGCTTTGTGGTTCCGTGAGGTATTTCTAGTATAATACACCCCCCAAACCGTGTTTTACTCATTAAGGCCCTTATATTGGACTGCGATAGCAGAACGTCGCAGCAGAGGGTGACAGAGAGATAAGGCAGTTGTGCCAGAACTGTAGACAATAAAGTTCAATAAAGGATGTATAAATCTGGACAAACAAAAGCTGGTGCAGTTTGCGTTCTTTCTGTTTCGGGTTTTAGATTACATGACGCGATTAGGATTTTGAATTGGAATCTTGCGGATCTGAGGTTCGCGCTACTTCCCACTCGTGCTGTTTCCAGGGGTTTTTAATCCCTGGGTGTCAGCATCGTTAGGGTGTGCTTGGAGGTTCAAGGGTAGTTGCAAGCGGAGTTATAAGTCCCCTAATATGGGTTATTATTATAGTTACCCTACTCAAAAACCCCGCTCCATCCCGCTCTGAATTGCACGCTGATGATGATGATGGTCGTGATAATGATGGTGACGATGTCGATGTTGGTTGATGATGATGATGATGATGATGATGATAATGATAAAGCTGATGATTATGCGAGTGACGGTGGTGGTGGTGATGGTGGTGGCGATAAAGACGTCGATGTTGATTGTTGTTGGCGATGTTGACGATGATGTTTGGGAGATGATGTTGGTGACGATGCTGACCGTGGTGGTGACCGTGATTGTCATGCTCAGCCTCACCAGCTTTGCACGATTCTGGGCCTCCCGGTTGCATGCCAGGTCTTCCTACCTGGCTCGGCCTGTGACACGGCTGTGGCCGTGATCGTTGTGGGGAGCTCTGCTATGGCCCTTCCCGGCTATTTTGTGGCGCGGAGGTTGTAACAGCCGGAGTCTTTCTCGTGTGCCATCCGTTTAGCCCGCTAGTTATACATGTACGCATATGCGGTAGTAGTTCACACCGGATGATAACGTTGATGGTATCTCCAAAGAAGAGACACGTTGTCAGTGTTGTTTTCTTAATGCTTCACTGTGACACTTATACACCCAGCACCAGTCTCTCACCAGCAGCACTGACAGCCCCAGCAGCAGCAGCAGCAGCAGCAGCAGCAGCAGCAGCAGCAGCAGCAGCAGCAGCAGCAGCAGCAGCAGCAGCAGCAGCAGCAGCAGCAGCAGCAGCAGCAGCAGCAGCAGCAGCAGCAGCATCACCAGCATCACCAGCATCACCAGCATCACCAGCAGCACCATCACCGGCAAAGGCACCAGCACCATCGCCAGCATCACCAGCACCATCGCCAGCATCACCAGCACCATCGCCAGCATCACCAGCACTACCAGCGCACCAGCACCAGCACCAGCACCAGCACCAGCACCAGCACCAGCACCAGCACCAGCACCATCACCAGCGTCACCAGCACACCGGCCCCACCAGCCCCACCGCGACGATGTCGACGACGACTAGCGGCGACCAGCAACAAGGTCAATTATGATCATGTTTTCTCTACGGTTCACCGAACAGTCGAAAGTCATGTTGGTCCTGGTAGCAGTGAGAGTGGTGGTGGTAAGGCATAGCAGCTGTGATTCAGAAATGCAGCCTCCGCACCTCCGCAACGCAGGAGTTCCTTCTACGAGCTCCAAGGATTTAGAAACCCTAAACCCTAAACCCTAAACCCTAAACCCTAAACCCTAACCCTAAACCCTAAACCCTAACCCTAAACCCTAAACCCTAAACCCTAAACCCTAAACCCTAAACCCTAACCCTAAACCCTAAACCCTAAACCCTAAACCCTAAACCTTAAGCCTTAAAGCCTGGTTCGTGTAGGTTTCCTGATTTGGGGTTTGGGGGTTTTCGGCTCAGGCTGTGCGAAGATCCAGGTGGGGGTTTAGTCCGGGATTGTTCCATATTCTGGCTCCTCTGCGACAGTTTCCTACTTGATGCTTGATTTCTAAATCCTTACAACCTGAGAACCCTGAACCCTAAACCCGAAAAAAACCTTAAAAAGCCCTAACAAACCCTAAAAAAACCATAAACCCTAAACCCTAAGCCTGAGAGCCCTAAACCCTAATCACTAAGAATCCCTAAACCCTAAGTTCTAAGCCCTGCACCCTAAATTATAAAAACTCAAAAAAGACCTAAACCTTAAACCCTCGAGCCCATATTCAGCAACCCCAAGTTAAATTTGTGCGCCGCACCGTACGGGCTCTTCGTAGGGAGCGAAGCACGGGGCCCCCTTGAAACAGCCAAGCCCAAACGCCCTTCTAAATTCTGACAGCTGAACCCCAAACCCCATACGGATTCCTCCACCCTAGACCCGAAAACCCCACTTACAGAGTTCCCTAAACCCCACAACCTTAAACGCTACTTACAGGTTCCTTCATTCCCTAAACCCCAAAACCTTGAATGCTACTTACAGACTCCTTCATTCCCTAAACCCTAAACCCCGAAGCCCGACGTACAGATGGCTTCATTCCCTGTTGAGAGCCAGTATGGGATCAGCGGCCTGCATGTTGCGATTTTCCATCCGCGACTGTCGTCGGGTGCACTTCATTGTCCAGTATTGAGGCTTCCATTATCTTCCATTGGTTTGGGGTTGTTTAGTTGTTTAGGGTTTATGGCTGAAGGGTTAAGGTTTTGAAGGTTCACAGTTGGGGTTTTACGAGTTTTACTAAGTCTTTTGATCGCTTATGACCATGTAAGCATGACGAGCGGGACAGCGCTTTAGGTGACGGCTGACTGCTTGAGTCAACGTCCACTCGGTTTGACACGGAGCTGCGGCGCTGCGGCTCCAAGACCCGCGTTGTGAAAGTCCGCAGAGGTGAAATGGGTTTGAAGATCGGAAGTTGATCATAGGAGGCCAAAAGGGGTTTTAGCCTATGGAGGTTTAGTAGGGATTAGGGTTCGGGTTCATATTAAGGAATCCCTACCCCAAGCATCTTCAACCCCCCGTTTGGCCTCCCATCAGTTGAATAGCACCCTCGGGTTTAGGGGGTTAATGGCCCAGGACTTGATACGTCTTTCCACTGCACCGTGCGATAAGTCTTAAAGTAAGTGGTAAGCAGCGGGTGGGTTTATAGGGCTGATGACAAAAATCCTGCACTACACATAGTAAGTAAGGAATATACCATAATTCCCATAGTTTCGGGCCCTTAAGGCAATGCAGGATTTATATCATCAACAGCGCCTCCCCTTCTTGCAACGCACTGGGTTCTTTCATCCCCCTCGTCTAGTTGCGGAGCTGGAGTGTTGGGATTGGGTCTTCGGATCTTTTATTCTGGGTTGAGGGTTTAGTAATATATGGGCCTTAATGATTAGAATAGAGTTCTGGGCTCCATTATACTATAAACATAAGAAGGAACCCCAAAAAGTATAGGTAATTATTATTAAGGCCCCTACAGTATCCACCTGCAACCACCAGCTGCCAGTGCCCTCGAAACCAAACTGCATCGTCGTTCCCACTACCGTGGTGTTACGAATACCTGTACTGCTCCATGCTCCAAGGCTTAAGCCTGCGAGGTGTAGTTTTGCCGTGCAAGCAATGAATGTGCCAGCAGAAAACGGGCATGGTGACAATTCGGTACTACAGTATGTTAGATCTACTGCGCCGTGAAGGGCATGAAGCAGGCCTCATTGATTTGGGCTTCTATTCCGCCAGCTGTTCCCGCCAGCTGTGCTCAGAGCCGCCAAAGCACTGAACCCTTGCGTTGAAGAGGCAGCACCAACGTACCCTAGTGACATAATATGGGTCGGAACAATTAGTAAGCATACCCCTTATACTCCCTATATCAATATGGGCTTTTCCGAATATAGGGGACCCTCATACAGTACCCGAAATAGTCAGATCCTTGTTACAAGGGCCCCAAAATAAGGTACCCCCTAGTTTCTGGAAACTCCTAGACCCTAAACCCTTTATAGAACCCCTATAGATCCCATTAAGGAACCCTTAAAGGATCCCTTTAAAGGTACCCCTACATCAACATGGGAGTTTCCGCAAAAGGGGGGAAGCTTCAGGGTTGGAAGAGTTGGGTTGGAACGAGGTCTCGGCGGTGGCGCCGCTGATCCCAAACAGCCTGGTGCCGCCAGTTCCGGCTTCTCGGATTGCAGCCCATCTCGCGTTTCTGTGGCGACTTGTTGTCTTTAAACCCTAAACCCTAAACCCTAACCCTCAACCCATACACATCCAAACAACCCTAAACCCTTTTAAACCCCTCCCTAAACCCTAAACCCTCAACCAATACACATCAAGCCCTTTGGCCTGGGGGTTCGCAGGGATTTCTGACGTTCTTTTTGAACACTGTCCAATTACCAGTTTTGCCCGAAGGGAGGGCGTCGTTTTGGGTACTCCCACCGCACGTTTTTGCCATGTCGAGTGGATCATGATCTCCCAGCAGCTTGGAACACAATAACCCAGTTGCTGTAGGACTCATGTTCAAAACCGATGTAACCGCCCAAAGACGCATTGCTGAAGGATCAGGGTCTTGTCCGTAGGAGACAGGTCATGCGCGGTGACCTAAGCAGATGCCCCTAGCCGGGTCTTCAAACAAGCATTAGAAGATGACATCTCATCGTTTGTTTCACTGGCCGTTGTAGGAAGAACTCGCATCCCTCACTCCCGGATGCCACCACGAGCCCCGACACCCGAAAACAGAGGCTCCCTCCCCTTATCTACCCCCAACCCTAAACCTTAAACCCCTAAACCCTAAAGGCCCTAAACCCTAAATTCGAACCCCCTATGAACTCTACACTCTAAACCCCATGCTCCCCTAAATTCGAACCCCCTACGAGCTCTACACTCTAAACCCCATGCTCTGCAGGAGTCGTTCCAGGCCGGTCCACAATCCGAGGAGGTCAAGGCAAGCGGGCGTTGGAGGGTTTCGGGGTTTAGAGTTTCGGGGTTTAGGGTTTAGGGGTTTAGGGTCTAGGGGTTTAGGGTTCAGGATTCCTTGCCACAGTTGGAAAGCGGCTCGTATTTCGGAAGGGTACAGAATAGTAATCAATATACTATAGGGGCCGTAATATTTACCCATACTATTTTGGGGGTGTATATATATATGGTCACCCCCCCCCCAAGATCTACATCCGCCTCTTCCACACAATTCCACAGGTTGCTTCTCTACATTGGTCGACTACTCATATATGCCGAAAACACCGTAAATTCCGATACAATTGTGCTTTACTCCATGTGCATGCAAACAGTACTGCTACAAGTCGCGGGTTTGATATGTGTAAAAGTCTGGCGCCGAATCTCGGCAGCAGATTTATGGTAGTTTATATGTTGGAGAAGCTGAAATGCTGGAGGGCGTGCTATTTTTGTTCAGGTAGTAGTAAAAAACCTCGTGTTTTTTGCGTTTTATGGTGTGTTATTTAACGACATTCCTCTAATAATGAAAGTACTATTGTCTTTCTTACGAGAACGTCTGTGTGCGTGGGCCATCTCTTTCCCGTTGCTCGTGAGCGTCCGATTCTGATGCGGCCTAATAGCTCTAGCATTTGATTTATGAGTTACGAAACACAATGAGCTCCTTTCATGTCTTGTCCGTAAAACATGGAGGAAGTCGAATATACGGGCGCATTTATTTTTGAAGCAATACTCCAATAGTTGTTTTTTGCCTCATAAAAAATGGGAAAGCTCCCTTGGAGTTGGAAAATTCATGTGCATATGCGGGCGCACAAGAAGGCTCGTCTGCAGCAAGAAGTAAGAGAGCTCTTGCAACCTTCCAAACATGAAGCAGGACTAGTTGCGACTGGCTGCATTGATACGTATCAATCACAAGGCAGGGGCTCCTTAACCTTGTAAAACAAAGTAAAATGGCACTTCATGGAAGAAAACTCCTCTTTATGTTGTGAGTCGATATTAAAGGCAGCCATGTGCATAGCAATCGCTATC